TTGCACTACAAACCTGATGGCAAAGTACCTTTAGAAAAAAGGGAAGAAATAACATGTTATACTGTGTCTTTAGTCCTCTGCATATGTCTGATTTTTAATAATTATAAAGTTCAAACAATTAAATGAACATTAAGCAATGCTGCAGCAAGCCCTGCCCACAGAATCAAACTAGAACTTTTATTTTGTAACTAAATGCATTTTAACATAGAAACAGGAAACGCATTGTGGACTTTCACACACAGCTTGGCGACATTTCACCTTAATTGCCACTGCAGCATCAAAACAAGCATAAGCACCAGATCAAAGAGCTGGAAAGCATCACTTTTCCCATTGGTAAGGAGCATGTTTCTTATTGGCTGATGTGTTTCCTGTGAAAAAATGTATCCTAGAATACATCTAACAAAAAGGGTATCACACAAGGACATATCAGATCCACAAAGAAATGAGACAAGAATATTTAAGGCCTATTAAAAAATTCCACCAGGAGCAAGTGGGTAGCTTTGGCACCACAGTGAGCTTATAGAGGAATATTACATCGATACAAATGGATCAAATTACCATAAAATACAGTGAGATGAGTATGAGGGCACCACAGACTGACATATTGTAACTTCTGAAATATTCATATTATTTATATTTGATATTGACGGGAGCTACAGTGATTTTTCATGAAGGCAGCTTTTATGGAGCCTAAGCACAAGCATTAATATTGCATCTCCTCCTCAGGGTTGTAGCTACCAGTGAGGACACCAAGTGCATGTCACTGTATTGTCTCTGAGATTTTTTGAGGGGGAATTTGTATTTTACAGTCACAAATAAATTCTGGCATTTGCCTCAACAAATATTCCTTAATCTGACTGTTTTTAGCCCCCCAAAATTCAATTCAATTCAATTCAATTCGATTCAACATTGAAATAACACCACAGCATAGTGAAATAAAATTACAAGAAAATATAATTTCACAGTTAAAAAATATTTTTAAAATGTGTAAAACCAGGGGAAAAAGGAAAGAAATATACCAATATATTTGGTTGAAAGTTAAAATCTCTTAGAGGGTGGCATTAGAGGCATTACAACTTATGACCTCTGCATTTGCAAAATCCTGGGTATGGACCTGCTCCCTGAACATTTGGCATGACTTTAAAGAAGAAAAGATCAAATGCTAAATTGAGTTTCAGAAATACAATTTATCAAATAGATAAATAACATATCAAATCTATAAATATACCTGTTTTGATGCTGAATCTGAACTGAATCCAGTTAATTTGACTTATTATTCCTGACAAGTCAAATGTTTCTCCTAACTGTTATCACACTCAGGAAAAAATAAAACATTGCATTGTTACTGCAGTCATTCCACCTTATAAGCAGTCCTAATATTAAAGTCACACATCAAAGTTAAGGTTTTACCAGTCATAACTTTTGAATCTTTTAGACCCTTCAAAGCACAATTTTCTTGTGATTCCACAAGACCACCTATATGTGCTTCACTGGCAGTGTGTATGATGCCTTCTTGCCTCCCACACATCTTGGAGCTGCTCAGTATTCCACTCAGATTCCTATAATGGCCCATACATGGCAGGCAGCAGCGGCGGATGTGCTGAGCTCACTGCTTTCTCCTCTCCGCTGAAAGAGCCATAACCCTCTCTAAACAGCTGGTTCGGTCCGGTTCATGCCGGGGACATTGCAGTCAAGGATGAAAAATGTTTCATTAGCATTTTCATCTCGATGGAGAGGGAAACACTGTCTGCTGGAGTGTGTGCTGACCTTGAGTGAGAGCCTGACCCTCTTAATGAACCAATCAGCAGGCGTCTGCTTACGTTTGCCAGTAGCACGCCTGAGGTGTATGAGCACATATGAGGGACACATTTAACATTAAACAAATCCAGAAATATTAAATATGCCATATTTAATGCAGAGTTTAGTGGGGGCTTTTATCTAAAGTGCTTTACAGTATACTAAGTGCGTACATTTCTAGTGCTGATGTCGTCTGTAGGAGCAGAGCCTCGAACTGTGATGGTGAAAGTGCCATATTCTACCTACCTCCATCATGAAAACCCATCTGCTTTTAAGAGTGTGTTCTCTTAGTGATAGAAACAGAGGCAAATTAAAGGGACAGTTCACCCCATAATCAAAAATACATATTTTTCCTCTTCCTTGTAGTGCTATTTATTAAGCTAAATTATTTTGGTGTGAGTTGCAGTGTGTTGGAGATATCAGCCATAAAGATGTCTGCCTTCTCTTTAATATAATGGAACTAGATGGCACTCAGCTTATGGTGCTCAAAGTCTCAAAAAATACATTTGAAAAACTCAACAGCAATGTCTCTTTCCAGAAATCATGACCCGGTTACTCAAGATAATTTACAGAGCTAGTTGTGAGCAGCTTCATGTAGGAACTATTTTCTTTCTGCCGAATTACACCTGCCAACCGTATCACCACGCAGAAGAAAGCATGCATTTACTGCTAGCCCCACTAAGCTAGCTAACATTACAACTCAACCAGGAGGAGGATACTAATGTTAACATCTCACGCTGTCATGAGCTCAAGCCCCTCGTCCATGAGTAGATGCACTCTTCCTCCTGCGCAGTGATTCAGTTGGCAGGTGTAATTTGGTGAAAAGAAAATCCTACATGAGTTTGTGTAGTTGCCACAGGAATGGCTCAGCTGTCATCGCATGATTAAAATGTGGACATTGTATGAACCACTGTGGTCTTTTGACAACAGTGGTTCATATACAGGGGGAGACGGTAACCTGTCTCTGTTCAAATGTGTGGCGCCATGCACTGACTCATGGTACTGACACATCTAAGGTTCAACCACACACTGCCTGTGTCAGTGTTAACATCCACCCTGGAATTAGAATCGGAAATAAAAAACAGGAGATACAAGGACAAGAGCATTTCTCATTTCCTCCATCAAGTCGGTAATGGTTTGGCCTGTTTGCCTGTGTGTCAGCAAGATTACGGAAAAACTGTTGGCCCGGTTTTCATGAAACTTGGTGTAAGGGTGTAGTGTGGGCCAAGGAAAAACCCATTACATCTTGGAGCATATCCGAATCATGGGGCGGATACACAAATCATCTTTCACTTTCGATAACATTGTGAGATAATTTGGCCTTGGCAGAGGTCTGCTCTCTCGAGTGCCCTTCTAGTTAGACATGATTTAAGGTTGTTGTTGATCTCCAAAGGCCACTTTAGCTATACTGATGCTTGTTGTCATGGATATACTGTAGATGTACAAAAGAAAATCTGAAATGAGCAAGTGTTGGGAGTGTATTTCACAAGCAGCAGGGTGGATGGATAGGGGATCCAGGCCTTTGTGGGGGGAAATATCTGTGTCTGGTTGCTTTGGACCTGCCAGATAAGGCAGAGTCGAGTGGCACGCAAGTCCTGGAACAATAACAAACAGTGGATTTATTGGTACTGGCAGCACTCGTGTTTACAGACAGCACCCTCTTGCAGGAGCTGATAAAAGCCTGGACATCACCAGAGTTCCCCCTCACACACTCTGATGTGAGCAAATAATTCATTTTGTCATGTTCCGTAAACAGGCTGACAGAATTGAACTGGTCTGTGCACACTGACAGGGCACAAACGATGAAGTTCAGGGTGAAAGCTGGCTTATCAGGGATGTAGTGCTCAACATAAGGACAGGATGTTACTGTTGTAGGACTTATTGTGCCTTGTCTGCAGGTCCTTAATCACAATGTGCTGTCATGACCTTCGTGAACTCTTTCTTTGATATATAACCACTGTCAAAATTAAAACTGTCTGACAGATATCCTGGTTAGTAAAAACAGTAGAATTTATTCCACAGTAATATAAAAGAATAATATCAATAGAATAAACTAACATTGAGTGGAGATCACGGCTATTGACATTAAGATGAGTCATTATTTGGGACATGCTGCCACCTTCTGGTTAATCAGAGGCTCTACCAAGAAATACAAAAATGGTGTACTGGAGAGCCTAGAGTATGCCACTGGAATAATTATAGGCTTTTATAGTGTTTATTATGATCTATTAATACATTGCTCAATTAAAAAAATCTATGACAAAGTGATTAATATACATTCACATTATACATTAATAAGCTCAAATTAAGTGATAAAACATTAAGATAATTAAATCTTTCTGTAAACATGATTAAAAATGACATTTTAAAGTGGAACAGATTACAAAAGTTTTATTTTTTAAAATCCCATTGACTAATGTATCCACCTATCATATTCCATTTCACAACACATTTATGTTCCGCTTTAACATTTTGGTTTTAATTCATGATTGCTGCAATTAAAGATGTCTCTCTTTACAACAGTTTCAGTGTTTTCACACCATCAGCCCCATGTAGCCCCACGTTTTGGTTTATCAGCCCACAATCACTGCTTTGGTTTACTCTCACCATTCTTATGAACGCTAGCAGCTGTTTTCACGATAAAGGACTGATAACCAGTCGCTACCTGCTCAGCACCGAAAAGCAGATAGACAAAGTTAGTGAGCGATAGTGCTGCAGATGGCTGCAGTAGAACGGGCTGTAGTGTGATCACCCAAAGCATGTTCGCACTGTCAATTTAGGTCCACTAAAAGTGCTTGTTTTTGCCACTAACGGACTCAGATTATTATTTTAAGTGTCTGACAACATTATGGAAGGATCCCTACAGAGATAGACCTTTTTGTTAAAGATTAAGATCATTTTTGTTTAACCAGAAACAGCCCTGAAATCATTAAAGCCACTCCCACCAGACTCCATTTGAATAAACAGTCATTTTTTCCTTGTTAAACACACTTCATTCAAAGTTGACAGAAACAAAATAGAACACACAAAAACCATCTTGGTATGTTCTTCCACCGTTCAAACATTCACCAACTGTGGTTTGGGTAACCCTTAATTCACCCAGTTAGATGTGGCAATATGCTGGCTCTATACACGCTAAAATTTCTGTTTATTCTAATGGAGTCTGGTGGGTTTGGTGATGTTGATTTCAGGGCTGTTTCTGGTTAAACAAAAATGATCTTACTCTTCATCTAAAAGGTTTATCTCTGTAGGGATCTTTTCCATGGGTTGTCAGACACTTGTAATAATAATCAGATCCTGTCAGTAGTAAAAACAAGCACTTTAAGTGGACGTACACTGACAGTGCAAACAGGCCCCTAATAGTTACACGGCAGCCTGTTTCGCCCCTGCCAGCTGCAGCCCTTTCGCTCAATACTGGACCAATGTAAAAAAGTGTTGTTCTTATTTGTCAGGTACACACACAAAACATAGGAAAAAAGGGTCCGGTTGAAAAACACCGTACTTACCCTTGGTCCCACTGCCTCAATCAAATAACGCAACAAATTTTTCTTTCTCATTTAAAATGCAATCATTGAGAAAGAAGACTGAATGGTATGGAGTATGTAATGAAATTAGAAATACTGTTAAAATGAATTATAAATCAGAGCTGTATCTGAAAACAAGTGATGAAAGGAAAACACTTCACTTGCTGCAGTATTAACAGTCCTTCTCAAGACCTATGAAACAGAGTCCTACCCACAGCATGTTGAGGTTTTGACAGAATGAACCATCTCTTTTATTCTGGCCAATTTCCACACGTGTCTGTCCTTTTCAGTGTTTCTCAGAGGGGGCGAACAGTGAGGGTGAGGTCAGTCCCTCGCTGTGGGATGATGTAGCGCTCCTCCCTGAGCAGGCGCAGCAGCAGGTCCTGGGTGTGCTGGGGCCACTGGTAGATCCTTGTGTTCTGGAGCCAGCTGGGGACATGTCTCTGTAACACAGACAGACAGCACTGTGCGTCACTGGGGAGAGCTAAAGTTGAAAGGGTGTGTACCAATGTACTGAAGTAAAATTTGAGCAGCTTGTCATTTTAACCAAGGTACAACAAAGGTTATGAGCATCCAAATACATCTACATCTCCTGTAAGTCTTATCCATAGTGACTATATGACATCAAAGCCTGCAGTTTAAGTGTGAGGTATATTTAGAAGATTTTCACTGCTTCACCTCACTGTCAGACAGCCCTTTCTGACGAGGAACTGAAGCTGTTATCTCAAAGCCATCAGACTATGGTATTTTTTACTGAGGAGCAGTGGATGAGGAAGTATTCAGTTCCTTTACTCAAATAAAAGTACTGATCGTTTCAACTGCACTTGTAGATTTTCATATTGTTTGTGTGCAAAAATCGTAATTTATGAAATAATAAGTGACTAAATCCATCCATCCATCCATCATTTTCCACTGCTGTTCCGATGCCAGGTCGCAGAGGCAGCAGGCTGAGCAAAGCACCCCAGATATCCCTCTCCTCAGCAACGCTTTCCAGCTCCTCCTGAGGCGCCCCAAGGCGTTCCCAGGCCAGATGAGATATGAAATCCCTTCAGCGTGTTCTAGGTCTGCCTCGGGGTCTCCTACCAGTGGGACGTGCCTGGAACACCTCTAACGGGAGGCACCCAGGAGGCATCCTGATCAGATTCCCGAACCACCTCAACTGACCCCTTTTGACATAAAGGAGCAGCGGCTCTACTCCGAGCTCCCTCTGGATGTCTGAGCTTCTTACCCTATCTCTAAGGCTGAGCCCAGCTACCCTACTGAGGAAACTCATTTCGGCAGTTACTAAATTTTAGTAACTACAGTTATTATATACTTGTAATGGAGTAAAAAGCGCAATATTTTCCTCTGAAGTGCAGTGGAGTAGAAGTTGAAAGTGGCATGAGATTAAAATAATCAAGTTAATGTACCTCAAATTTGTACTTAAGTACAGTACTTGAGTAAATGTACTTAGTTACATTCCATCACTGTTGAGAACAATACCACACTTGCTGGTCTACCACTACCTTGACAGGTATAAGGTGTGAGGTAAGGCGGAGAAAATATTCTAAATACAGCATGCACTTAAACGGACACTAATTTTTTGGGGGTCATCCCTATGTTTCCAGGGTTCTATGTTCCCCACTTAGACAAAAAAGGTTCTATGTTTCCCACTTTGTTGAGTGGGAAACACAGAACCCGGGAAACATAGAACCTTTTTTGTCTAAGTGGGGAACATAGAACCTTTTTTGCAGGGTTAAGTGGGGAACATAGAACCCTGGAAACATAGATAAGCTCCCATTTTTTTCAGTGGCTACAATACATTTTGCTGTGACCCCATCCACAGCAGTACATTGCTTAGCTTCCATGCTGGTAGATTTAGTTTAGTGGCAAAGCAACAGAGAACATAAATTAAGTACAGCAGAAATGTCAGATAGGCCAGACCACCATGTCTGGCTGTATATGTTTAAACATTACAGTTATGGCTGACAATGATGACAGAAAATATCAAGTTTGCCAATTTCACGTCTTCGCAATTAAAATCAATTGCCATAATGTATCTGGAAGTGATTGGTGTTGTTAGTGTATCAGTCTATAATGTTTCCAAACAGTAACTGACAATTCCTGCACAGTATACCTTTAAAGGTCCAGTTCACCAAAATCACAAAAACGTCCTTCAGTTAGTGATGGCCAAATGAAGCCTCATGAAGCATTTTCTTTATTTTCTGAGCCCACTAGATGGCGCTTTTTGTTCAACAAAAGGTTGAAAGCACACTGAATTGATATTCTTTGAGCATCTCTCTTTAAGCCAAGAGCGCCATCTAGTGGGCTCAGAAAATAGAGAAAATGCTTCATGAGGCTTCATATGGCCATCACTACCTTCAGTTACCTCATGTGGTCCCCATATGGAACAGGAGGCTTAGTAAAGAGTGTGAGGCGCGATTGAAAGCTCTAAAAGCTCAGTCAAAGAACTGAGTCAAAAATGCCTGAAAGGGCTGAACCAACCCCTCAGTGTGTTTGCTGTTAATGGCTTGTCCTTACCTTGGTTGCATTAGGAAACAACACAGGGACCAGTCTGAAGTTCAGGCAGCCTTGTTGGATGAACTCATTTTGGATCTGTACCAACAGGAACACACGATAATTAGTGCTGATAGTTCTCCATAAACTTACATGTCTAATTTGCTTAAAGGTAAAGTCCAGCCCAAAATCAAAAATACATATTGCCCCCCCCCTTACCTGTAGTGCTATTAATCATATAGATTGTTTTGGTGTGAGTTGCAGAGTGTTGGAGATATCGGCCATAGAGATGTCTGCCTTCTCTCCAATATACTACATGGAACTACATAGCACTCGGCGTGCGGTGCTCAAAGTGCCAATAAAATACATTTGAAAAACTCAGCAACGTGTCTTTTTCAGGAACTTTCTACCAAACTACACCTCACAACCATATCACAACACAGATGGAAGCGTGTATCTACTCATGTAATGAATACTGGAGAGACACAAAAGTGAAACTGAAGTTACATGATCATGATCAGGTTTTACAGAGAGTTACAGTAAGCCTCATTGAGCTGTGACAGCCTTCCAGGCCCACAGCCAGGTTGCTTCAGCATCTGCACCACACTGACACTGTGGGTGTATGGGTGTGTGGGGACAGTGGGTGGAGCTGGCAAATGCACTGTTTTCAAGCCCCAGTGGGCATTTCCTCATTCTCCTGTCCATACTGGCATGTGTGAAGGAGGGCGCTTAATGATGTAAGCTTTCCACCAGAGGGGGACATTTCACACAGACCTCAGTTGTTGACAGCTGTTTGGATAGCTGTGTGAGTTCCCACCTGGTTGTGAATGTACTTGGTGTGCAGGCCGTGCTCGTCATCTCCATCTCCCTCCACGTCCTCCTTGTACTTGGGGCTGATGACCACGATGATGAGCACTGATTTCTGTAAAATGGCATCTCACTGTCAGCTTTTTTAAATGGGATTCATTTTCTGCTCAGACTCAATAGTTGGACTTACGTCATTCAAAAATCTGTCCATCCATTTGGTGATGCCCATTCTGCGGACTGGATTATCAAAGATGTCAATCTGTTGAGACACAGGCAGAGCGTGAGTGTTTGTATGGAAAGCTGCTGAGAATCAAAGGTGATGGAGACATGGCGTGACTTACTGCTGGGTCGAACCCTTGATCAGTCAGAAATTTGACGAAAGGAATGATTTGTTCGGCCGTGTCCACTGAATATGTGATGAAAACGTTCCCTGTCAACAAAAAGTCAGTAAAACATTCTTATCTGTACATTCTTTAAGATTAGGAAAACAATGTTATATACACATGATCATGCAGGGGGCACTGGTGTGACTTACTACACTCCTCAGGTAGGCTGATGGTCCTCCTGATCTCCCTTGTGGCTGGCCCTGGACCAGCCTGGAGGGAGAGACCCACACTGACCTCGTGCATCACATCTCTAGGAGGGGCCACACAAAGGGGCACAGATCCACGAGGGGGATTTGGATCATCTTTATTAAGTTGCAGCCTATTATTTGGGGGATTCCTGTGAAGGGAAACAATCAGAAACACTGAGCATCATGCGTGACATCTGTGAAGAATTACATGAATCAATGTGGAAAGTATAAGATCATAATGACAAACAGGGCAGGTCGTTCTCATACCATGACTGTTGGTGGTGTTGGGGCTCCTCGCATGGATCCGCTGGGTACTCATGCTTGTGATGATAATTATTATTTTTGTGACGGGGCAGATTTGCCGGAGGACAGCAAGCACACTGCCTGAGACGACTGTCCTGCACTGGATTGGGGCCTGCAGAGAGATATGGAGGAGCAGACATTAACTTCCTAGTTTGGACAGTTTCCAGCTCAGCAGTAATGATGTCATGCAGACTCAATAGAAACACCATGAGCAGCAGCCAAATGATACCTAACAGGGCTGGGGAGGCAACTTTTAAAACTAAATCTATCACAGATGGAGTGATTACTGCATCCGTGCAGAATCAATCCAAATGATTCAATTGTGGTTTGTAGTTGTATCATTTGTCCCACTTTTGGAACACAGTCATTCAAATATAAGATTTAGGTTTGTGAAGGGAATAGGGCAAGGGCAAAATAATTCAATAATATTCAATATCTGTGAAACACATTGTTATGATCATCCAAAATGACTATAACATACTCCCTATGACACTAGCTAATATGCAAACCACGGGACACTGAAACCCACACAAATTAAGTTTTTTGAAATTATTATTGTACATACAATGTTGATTAATAAAGGTATCCCTTTTCCATATACAAGTACAGTCTATCCAACTGCATAGAAAACAGGCTTGTCTACAGTACCCAAATGATGCAACAGTTGCCTGCTTTTGGTTGCTTCCAACCCAGGCAAAACTCTTCTTTGCTGGGGCCTGTTCGTCACTGCAAGTTCCTTCGTTCTGAGGAAAAACTCCCTGGGTTGGCCCACTGTCTCTGAATGTTTAGTCGTCTGATGTTGTTCCAGTTTGCAGGGTTTCATACTTTGACTTTCTCACTGCAAATGTAACAATCACTTCTAATTTTGTCCATTACCCATGTAAAGCCAAACTCAACGTAACTGTCCTGGTAAATCCTTTTTTTTGTTTCTTATTAAGAAATTCAGCATTCTCTTTTTCCTGACACTTTGTAATTTTTCCATCAGTGCTTTGTTTTTACCTTTTTTAAGTACTTTTGTAATAAAAGAATAGGGAATTTAGCCAGCTTGCTCTGCTAGCTTAGCTCTGTTTATACTGCTGGTGTTCATGTCTAGATGTGCCATTAGGCCCCGACCACACAGAAAATGTTTAAGCAGCTGGAGGCGGCTTTTTGTAATTGTTTTTATTGAGAATAAGGCTTTTTGCTTGCTGTTTTTGTGTTGCAACCCATGTCACGTTTCTGTGCTCTAGACACCTGGCTTTTTTAGCCAGAGCACTCTGAACTCTGAGTTGAAAAAACTTCAACTCAGAGTGGAAAAACACCCTATGTCAAGTCTTTTTTCATCATCTTTTTTCCCATTGTCCAGTTGGATGATTTGAGTGGCGGGCCCTCTGTGGTGGTCATGACAACAAGTTTACAGCTGGTAAACAATGGAGGAGAAACTGGTGGTAGTGGTTGCTGGATACCCAGAGCTAAATGGCCTGACAACAGACAGCAGGTTGTCAAACTGCCTCTGAGTCATCCAAAAATATGCCTGGAAATGGCCATCATCTCATGGTCTCATGTACCCACACAGATCTCTGTTTCCCTGTGCCCAACTAACTTTTTACTGACAGCCTCTCAATCTCAACCAAAGCTAAAGCAAGTACCCTCCGCCTCACATTTTACAACCTGCAAAATGCTTTCTGTGTGATCAGGGCCCTATCCTTGCAAGATTTTTTTTTTTCCCGCATATATCTTTATTTATTTTTTCTGAATAAATTAAAATTATTTTTTAAGTCCGTCACATGATGCCATATAGATCTATACTGGAAAGACACGTCAGTGAATCAATGATTTTTTTTTAATTTTTTGAGCATCACAACCCCTGCAAAATGACTTGTTTTATTATCAGAATCTGGTCCATTCTGTCCAAAATATTTCTTAAGTCTAGAGGAGCCACACTATTGAATCCTTTTATCCCCCTTCAAGATAGCAGAGGCCTAAACTGGAATTTAGCTGTTAGTCCAGCGGAAGTCTCTAGTGTGCTTGCTCTATGGGCCAAACGATGATCAGAGTAATTTTACACCCAGGAAGTGGAAATTTTTGGCTTCATGTGCCTTTACACAGCCCTGGTTGGTTCATCCTAATTACAGAAAGACACATTCCCTCACTTCCTCCTTGAGCCATGCAGATCATTTTGGTTTTATTTTATCAGGTTTTTAGATATCTGTCTCTGATTTCGGTCTCCTTAGCAGCACAATGGAAGAGATAATAAATCATGGAATAAAAACCAAATTATCAAATGTAAGAATGAACACATGTTCCCACTGACAGTAACACCAAACACCCATAAATGTTAATAATCCAACAGTGACACTGACCGTGCACACGTGCTGCAGGGTATCGTGATGGGACATAGTGGGTGCAGTTATCGTTAGACTTCAGTGACTGAGGAGGCTCCAAGAATTCTTCTTCCTCCACAGAGTGATCCTGAGGCCAGTTTGAAGGTCCTGCAAAGTCTCTACTGTGGTTAACCATGTAGTCCTGTTCATATAACGACATCTGCTGCTGTCTGAGACCACGAAGCCAAACACCTGCAGGGTCCAGGGGGTCCATCTGTCCTAAGTGTGAAGGGAGGAGGAAACGAGGTTGGGGGACAGCATGATGGGCTTTTCTAGGTTCAAGCTGGTGTTGGCGCTGGCTCTGAGGGAGTCTCCACTGGCCGGCACTGTGTGCTGACCCCCTAACTTGCTCATAGCCATGTTCTTGCGGCCTTTTGCTGGTCTCTGTATGTCCACTGCACTGATTGCAAGGGGGAGGCCAGGCTAAGTCCAGACTGGAGGATGTCATTCTCTCGTCTGTCTCAACAGGAACGCTCTGATGAGGGCAAGGCCCTGTCAGGAAGAAAGAACAGAAAAACAGGTTCGCTTCATTTGCTTCACGCAGAAACAAACTTTAAAAGGCGAGACAGATTTATGACTGCTGCAAGCCTGATGAAGGTTTGTTCCCCACCTTGAAAAGAGTCCATTTTATCCCTCACAAAAGGTGTCTTTTGCCTCTGGTGAAGTGGAAATGAAAACAACGTTACAGGAATTTAACAGAGCATGACAACTTAAAGAGACATGTACAGTATAGAATACCTCACATTTGCACAGCTGGCAAGAAAACAAGTGTAGTTCCAACTGAGATTCAAAGTCCGTTTTGAACAATAAAGTCACCACCAAGAAGTAAAAAGTATCACCATGACATAAAATACACGCCTTATAGAGTAAACAGCATCTTAAAAAGTATTAAAATGAACATGATCAAATACAAACTGTTCTCAGGAGTGGTATGTACACACTCTTGTTTCTCCCTCACTGAATAGGTGTGAGCAGGTTTGAGTGTTACGCATCAGCACAATCGCGGCAAACTAGTACAAAGGTCAAAATCACAGATCTAAAGATATGCCAGACATGCCTTCTTAAAAGACAAATAAAAACTATCTCAAAAGTTTCCAGTATGGTTTTCCATATAAATCTACATACAGAAAATAAAGAAGAACTTAGCAGTACTCCCACACCTACCTTTGCTTAGATCTGCCTATCCCTCAGCCACAGCACAAACCTGTTCTGAAGCAAACAGGAAATATTCCCACTATGCAAAGCAGGGAAGTCCCGTGACCTATTTATGCAAATAATGCTGGGCATTGAGACTGCCGCTGCCTGGTTGCTTCTTCAGCAAGGTAGACACTCTGTGGCCAGTCGAGTTTGACTGTTTGTGTTTCAAAAAGAGGAAATGAAATCTGACAAGCAATTATTAAAACCAATCAAAAGTGCACAATTAACTTGACACATACATAAATAGCAGTACAGTGCTGCTCAGGTGTATTCAAAATTTTTTCAGAACAAATCATCATACTACTGAATGATATGTGCAGTTTTGGATGACTGAACATTTTCAAAGCTATAAAGCAGGTCCAGTTATTCTCCTTTAAAACGACACACCCTGGAAGACTCAGCAGCTACAATTACATTCCAGACAATAACTTGGTATGGTCTTTCAAACTTTCACTTTTACATTCATTGTTACAAGAGTTCATCCACATTAGTAGTTCAGGAGCATGTCTATGTTCCCTTTGCCCTATGTCCCCTCAGATCAATACTTCTGCCAGTGAGGTAATGGTTTCTCCTCTGTCTGTCTGTCTGTCTGTTATGATATTGTTAGTGCGACATCTCAAAAACGTATACACTGATTTTAACACAGGCAACACTAACCTCGAACCCAGTAATAGAAGGGCGAGCTCTGATGCTGAGGGAACATGGGAAGGAGGGATAGTGATGTGCAGATTGACCCACAACCTGCAGATCCAGCTGGTTGACTTGTGCGTCAGATGGTTATGGTAAGCTTGTTAGAAAATATCATGGATTTCAGGCAACATGGTAATCAAGTGAAAAAGCAGTGTTCTGAGTAAGTTTTTAATAACTTACAGAAACATCATGCAATGTGCAATAGTCCACCTTCCACCCTCCCTTACCCTCTCTTTGAATCTCACAAATACACACAGCAAGCAGCTTTATCATCAGCGCTGCTCCACTCAGGGTTTCCATCATCCGGTTTTTGATCAGAAAACTCTATCGAAGCCTGACATATTTAAAAGTGCTCATCTTCACAAACCAAGTAGGATATCATCTGTGCGCTCAAGATCATACTTAAGACATAACCACTTAAAAGATATGTTAGTACTTGCTGTGTTCCTATATTTGTACTTTTTAAACAGGAAACACACGTCTTATATTGTGATATTTACTGGAAATGACATAAAATATAGCCAACAGCAAGTACTCTAGGCTGTTAGAGATGGTCATTACCAGCGGATTGGGTTCAGATCAGTGAATAACACATATCTTTGTGGGTCAGGGGATGTGGATTGGGTCTCATAATGGTGCAGGTTTAAAAACTTTAACCTGTGCATCACTACAGAGGGAACACAGGACTGAACCCCATTTTGTAATAAACATTAAACACAAAGTTTAGCTGAGGGTGATGGGAATGTCAGTAGTTTAGCATGTATACCATTGAAATCTTGTCCTGATGGTGGCGCTAGAGGCAGACCTAAGGGATAACCAAAGTCATACAGATATATCATCTGGAAACCCTGAATGGCTGTAGCAAAATTTGTGCCACTATATGTTTAGATATTTTACTGGATAAGTGAAAACTTTGATGTTGGATATTGTGCCACATGACTGAGCACCAGCTAGACTCCAGCTGGAACACCATTACTATCATTATTAGGATTCATCCTCTGGGGGCCATGAATGTGTAAAATTTCTTGGAAACACATTCGAAAAGGTTGTGAGAGAATTCAGTCCACGTCAAAGCGATGGATTGACCAACTTTGCCATCCCTCGAGCCACCCAGCTAGGTGGCTGAAGACAAAAACACAAAAACTAAAATAAAGTATAATTCAACAAAAGCTTGGTTGTCACCATGTGACCTAAGTATGTATCCATTGTTGATGACAATAAAAATTAAAGGGCCCTAAAAAAGCAGTCGGTGGGCATTTAGTTATGATTATTTTGTCAAACTATGATTTCCAAGGTCAAGAACGTTTATGCGTAAAGGGTGTTTATTTTAAAAGTCAGATTTTTGTCCATTCTTCCAGATCCTTTCTACTCTGTCAGTTTGAGATTGGTGAGCACCACAGTCACAGGGTTGCTGGATGGCGAGGACTTATGATGTATCACTGAGAACACTTTCATGGTGGTGTGGGTGAGGACAGAGCCAAGCTCAAGTGCCTTTGCCTTACAAGTCACCACCTGGATCAGCTCCTGCCGGAAGCGCAGGCTGACCATGCAGTAGAGCAGGAAGTTGGTGGTGGAGTTGAGGTTCTGCAGCATGTTGGCCAAGTCTCCGGCCACATTGATGGGGATGCTGTAGTCGTCCCTATTGAAGTTCTTGTTGTTGTACTGGGTCCTCAGAATGCAATATGTGACAAAGCGGGGCAGGCTGAGGACAACAAAGGTCACTGAGACGGTGCCCAGCAGCAGGATGGTCCTTCTCAACATGCCCCTGGTGCTCCTCCCATGCATGACGCGACGTTCTTCCTTGGTGAAGAGTTTGCTGGCTCGGCACAGATGGTACCCAATGAGGTAGTTGAAGATGATGACCAGCACGATGGGGATCCCCCCTGAGAGGAAGGTGGTTATCCACACTATAACAGTAGAGTAGGTCTCATCGCGGTAATGACACCTGGGCAGCGTCATATTCTCCCTGCCTACAGTTAAGTTGACATGTGAAACAATGTTGATCCAGCTCACTGGCACAGAGACAAGATGGGACACCAGGACAATAGCCATGCAGGTCAGTTTAGTAACCCAGGCCTGAGAAAAGTGCTGCTTGGCCACTGTGCTGCGAAGAACGAGGTAGCGCTCGATGGTGAACACCACCACGATCCAGGAGGAGCTGTAGAGCGATCCATACTGCAGGAATCCCAGGAGGCCACACCAGGGATTGGAGTGCCAGAAGGGCTGCAGTAGCCAAAAGTTGAGGGTCAGGTCAAGAAGTATAACCCACACCAGGTAGAAGGTGTCCACGATGGCCAGACAGCTCAGGTAAATGATGGCCGTGTTGGACATCCCGCATTTACGGAAGCAGATCATGTAGAATGTGAAGAGGTTGGCTGGAAGACAGGACCACAAAGGTTCAGATGGTTACATTTGCCTGTCCGGTCATACTTTTAGTTATTATTACCAGAGGTGGGACCAAGTAATTGTTTTGCAAGTCACAGGTAAGTCACACATTTATGCACTTTGAGTTTCCAGTCCTAGACAAGTCATAATGCACTCTTCACCAAATAATAATATACCAATTTTAAATGTACAAAAACACAAGTGCTTTATAAAACTTGCATTTATTTATTGTTAAAAAGTTACTTACCTGTTAAGCTAACATTAGGTAAGCATCAGCTCGCTAACTACAGTGTTAACTATTTGCCTTGACGTACTATCATCTGTGCTACTTCAAATGTCGAACAAAGTTGGAATTGTAGTTTTAGAGCCCCACGTTTTGTATACTGCAATTCGGTTTTCCTTGACCACCATGTAGTTTTTGTATGTGAATAAAACTATCTTTGGTCTCTCCTGCAACTTGACTGCATGCTGTCGGAGTGGTTCAGACAAAGTGGATCTAGGGAATTACGTGTCGAAATCTTGCAAATGAATAGTGTTATGTTAGCTGATTCAGGAAATGAAGGAAAATAAATTGATCTGGGGGCACACATTTGAAAAAATGAGGAAAGCTATTAAGTATTGTCAAGTCAAAAGGTTCAAGTCCAAGTGAAGCCACAAGTCACTGGTGTTGAAGTCCAAGTCGAGTTGCAAATCTTTTTTGATTTTGTCAAGTCAAGTTTAACATCTCATCACTTTACATTTCATGGCAGATAAGTTTATCAGTTGCTTATTCAAACATCCAGCACAGGGCAACGAGAGCATTCATTAGCAGTTGTGTTTTTTTGCCACCAAATCTCCTGTTAGGTCTGGGTTGGTAAAAACAATACGTTCACTTGCTAACATTAGATGCTAGCTATGTTCACCAGCTATCTTTGCCTGCTGTTTGTTGCCGAGCAGTAGTGTACAGTGGGTTTTGTTTATTTTTTGCCAAAAACAGTTTCTGGAAACAAAGTTTATGAAAGCCTTATTTATGAACCTGAAAACCAAAACAATAAGCTAAAAGATGCTAAAACAGCATGTAAAACTGAGGGAAACTGCAGAGTTGGGCGCTAACTTACTGCAGGTTTGTTATGATTCACCGCTTTCACATAGACGTTTATTTCTTTGTTAATAAACACAATATTGACAAGTGTCAAAGTATTTTAATGCTTGATAAATCATATATTAATAATAAAGTAATGATCAGTTTCAGTGGATAAATAAAATAAACTACAAACATTTTGGGGTTTGACAGAATGTTTAGCCTAGCTTAACGCAGACACTGGAAGCAGAAGGAAACTACTCACCATGCTCTATCAAAAATAAAAAAGTCATTCAAAAGCTCCACAGATGTGTATGTTGTTTTTTTTTTAGCTAACTACTACACACACAAATAACTCACATTTTGTCACAACAGTTTGCAAACCTGTCACTGTGTGGCCTACATCACTGTTCCAGTGCTAACTCTTTCTGAACCCATAAGGTCACATTGATACATTTAGTACAGTTTTACATGTTGAATAAATCATGACATACAATGTGTGACTGAGACAGCTTTTTCTTCTGGAAATGTATTTTTAACTAGTTAGAGCTAGGCTAACAGTTTTCTCAGGGGTCATCCTTATGTTCCCAGCATCAAATATTCTTTGTGGACAGGGACGCCATCTTGTTAGGATCGCACCGGCACTTCTGCTGTTTCCCCAAACTGATGGTGTACTGACAGACATTTACTGTAATACACTAACTATGGATAAGTACCTCATACAGCACACCTTAAAACATCTGAAGTATCCCTTTAACCTATAAAAAGTGACTGTCCTGACAAAACTTATG